GTTTGGTATGTCAAATGTTAAATCTTATTAAATCCTTAGAAACTGTTTGATAACATATTTTAGGATTTATGGCAGTTAGGGATTTAAATGTGAAGAATATAATTATAAATTAAAAAATAAATTTATAATTAAAAATTCAACCCGGATCGGAAGTTACGAAATTTTGATCGGAAGCAAGAACGGGAGCTCGCTGGCTCTGAAGGTAACTTTCTCCCTTTTGTGCACTTCTTCCGATAAATCCCGTCAGATTTAATAAATCTGGCTACCCCTCGGATTTATTAAATCCCGGATTTAAGCCCTAAATCCGTAAATCCGGGATTTACCAAATCCCGGGATTTACCCCGCGCACAAAAACTGTTTAGCTGGATTTAGCGTAAATCCGACTTAAATCCCGCTGTAAATCCGATACCAAACAGCCCCTTAGTGAAATCAATTTGTAGAATAAACACCAACTGTACCAGAAACCCCACATATACCGACATGTGTCAATTTTTCTACATTGTCCAAAAAAATAGGAGAAAATTAGTATAATTAAATAACAATAATATTTATATTTTAGTGAAGTTGGTTTGTAAATTTAACTTATAATGACTCCTTAACAATTATTTAATTAGGTCAAAATATGTGCTATTGCACATAATTAGGCGATAGAGATTGGAGGGATCATAATTGACAGCATTGTTCTGAGAATTGTAGTCAGACAAAGGTAATATGAGAATTGTAGTTGGCGGGCGACAAAGGTTAGAAGGACTATGCTCAAGCGACAGTGGCTCGAGGACTGTAGTTGGTGAGTGACTAAGTTCAGAAGGATCATAGTTGAGCGACGATTGTCAGAGCATCGTAGTTGGGCATGACGACAATTGGGGTTCATCAGCGATGGTGCTTGAGCGAAACAATGAGATATTCTTCAAGCTTTAGAACTCTCTTGAATATCTAGCCGACGATCTAAGCCCTCAAAGGCCCCCTTCATGCAGGGAGAGATGGTCTATTTATAGATTTGAGGGCGGCATGCTCTATAAATATGAAGAATTTTCAGTACAAATTTGGAGTGCTCCATCGGACAATCCATGTTGATTCCCTCGATCATGGAGTGCTCGTAAAGCATTTAAGTTCTTTAATGATGTTAAAACTAAGCAATCTTAGGCTCGTTGAATTCGCCTCGTCGAGTCACCTGATTCGACTATAAGAATATCATATTTATATGTCATTTGATCACCTAATTAATATTCTGAAGCTTCCAAATATGTATCAAGTCATTGATTTGTGCTCATTTAGGCTCAGATTTGACTGATTTTAATGTCGTTGGGTTTCTTCTCATCAAGACGTTCATTTTAACTATAATTTTGCTAAAATCAGAATTAAGATGATCATGCATTTAAATTTGATATATCTCAAGATTTGTGTTGGGTTAATTTGATTGTTTTGTGACTTACTTGGGTTAATTTGATTGTTTTGTGACTTATCAATATTAGAATATGCTAGTATTACAAGAAGATTGAAACGTTAAATTATGATAATATTTTTGGGGCTGTTACACCTGATTGACTATTGATATAGTCGCCATTGCTCTTCTTTTCATAACTCTAGAATTATTAAAATTTTGTTCTAAGGCTTAGCTCTAGCTCCTGTCGTGTATAATACATATTATAAAAAGATATTTTAAATTAATAGTGGTTAGTACAAATTTTAGTAGTGGGATGATATAAATATTACCATATGAGCCAATAAAATTATAATGATGAATAAAATATGCGCATGCTCATTAATTAAATAAACAATAAAATTATTTAATTGTCAAAAACACATTTAAATGGGATATCAGGCCCAACAAAATATCAAAAGTTATATCATGATATAAAATAAATTTTTTTGAATAATTAAATGCAGTATTAAATAATTATTAAAAAAAATCAATTAGTTTTCATTTATGTACGGGTTTGTTAAATCATTGATAAGTCTAATTTATAGAATAATATTATCCTTTGATAAGTAAAATATATCGAAATTAAAAATTTTTAAAATTAAATTTTGGACTATTCAAATTTAGATTTTAGTGAACTTATAGTCACATTAAATTAATATCTAGATGAGACGTTCACAACAATATTAAAAGTGGTCTGATCTAAGTCAAAATATGTCTAGATCAAACAATTAAAACATCGTTAAAATTCATGATATTAATTGAATAATTATAGGATCTACAAATTTAATATGCTTGTAATAAAATCAAGCACCTTAACAAGACGATTTCAATGAGCCTAAGATTGCTTAATTATGACATTATTCAGGTATACCTAAACATTTAAAAAATAGCTAATGATCAAGACAATAATTTTGATATGTCCTATGGAGATTTATAGAGAATATTACTCTCAAACCCTATGAATAACACTACATGCAAGGAATAAGGATTGTAGATTAGAGAGAACTCAAAGGCTTGAAAAATCTCAAGCTCCACCTAACCACCCTAATCAAACCAACATCTTATGACTAACTCGTCGAGATGTGTTGGTCGAGCACCACCATTGTCAATGCTCATGGCTAGACAAGTGCTGCCTATCCATTATCATCAAATCACTGCCACTGAATCATCACCATCGTAGTTGTGACATCATAGTATCTAATGAAAGGATTGAAATCATAAACCTAAAATCACCACTTAATTACTAAAAAAATATAAATAATAGAGCAGAAGGAGCACATTTCATTTCAAGTCAAAATTCATATACATTAATTCAAATAAAAAAAATTATATACCTCAAAATAAATACTAGATTACAAAATGAATACTTTGCTTGCTTAGAACTCAAGGATTTTTCATACACACCTGATTTATTCCACTAGCTAGGCCTTTAGCTATTGATTTATTCCACTAGGCCTTTAGCTATTCTTGAAATATTTAAAAAAAAAAAACACAGTGAGCACTACTAGTTAGTAGACTCCTTATCCTAACTCATTATAGAAGTCATATTTCCAAGAAAAAAAAGATGAAGTTGCAATAAAATTAAAAAAGAAAAGCATAAATAAAGTACTAGTTGAATAGTGAAACACAATTTTTCTACGAATTCAGTGCATAATTGAGGTTATCACTTACTTGTAAAGCCACTTATATAGAGATCTCCATGTACTTCACAAAATATTTGACATCAGAGATTCACTTGCACTTTACTTTCATATTTTATTAGAGTTTATACAAAAATTCAAGAATTACTAACATCCGATTTAGAATATTATTTGTTTTGCATTCATTTATATATATACAATGTAATGATTTGAATAAACATGTCCTGATGCCTTCATATAACTCCCCTTTCACTTTCCTCCATTTAACCTCCGACACCTGCTTATAAAAAATGGGGTCATAGTCAGAACATAATAGTGTTACATAAGTACCTCATACACATACTTTCAGTAAGTGGGGCCAAAATCCTTCTCACATCTACACTATGAAAATAAGACTACAACAAAACATATTGGGTTCTTGTCATATATCAGAGAATGCACTTTTTCACATATCATAACATCTCCAATATCATGCTATGAATAGTATAAATGTAATTTTGAATGCAGCAGTAACTGAATAGTACTTTTCAATGCAATGCCAACATGGCACATTAATTGCCTGTAAAAAGCCATCTTACTAGTAAAACTTAATACACATTAAACTTTTTCTTGATTAATTTTCGACTATAAAGGAATATCACATGAACATTTTTTTTTATATAACTATTATAATTGTTAGAAAAGCCTCTACAAATCATATCAGAGATTGGCATAGGCAAAACCAACAGATGAAAATCTTACTTCTTATAGTCAAAATGTTCAAAATAAAGCCTGCAATAACATATTAAAAGTTACACAGTGAAAATGTTGTAAAACCTAATAAAAATAAGATTTTATCCATAAATTTTAATAAAATCAAAGATAGGGATTCAAAAGTCTATCTCATGCTCTACAAAATTCCTAACTTGCTCGACGGACGAAACCCGAGCTTTGTTCGCAATAACTCTCCCTTGTCGAGTTATTTCACTTGTCGAGTTACTTCCTGATTTGTTCAAGAGCTCCTTAAACACTTTATGATACCTAATTATCATTTAAATCAAAATCAAACAAGTATCAATAATATATACCTGATTTCTGGACAATGGGCATTACAAATATTATTGTCGTGCAATCCCTAACATTGGACCACTATCTCATGACCACAACTGTTGTCGACCTTTGTAATCAACTCATCATCATGAGATCACAACTGTTAGATTATCGTCACTCGACCACTCCCTTTGATGTATCACCATGTCACTCTTGTCGAATCACCATCACTTGACCTCCATTGTCGAATCATCACCACCTGACAACTTTTGTCGGACTATCACGAAAAAATACTTGTTATTTGAAAATTGTTATTAAAACACTCGACTACTATCATCGAATCACCATCAGCCACATTCATTATTGGGCTATTATCACCTTGTTGTTACTATTGAGCCACTGTCATTCAACCATAACCATCTAAATGCCTCTCATCTTGTACCGCCTTAGTAATATTTTTCACCATTCCCACAGAAGGTCAAGCCATCATTTCACACTCTTGTAATCTCACATTTTTCAATTTGTTGTTGAGATAAATCTTTATAATCAACATTTCTATAATCGGGCCACTTCAATTAGGCTAGATTTTATATTTTTTTTTTCTTTCTAAATTTTTCATATAAAAATTTTAGCGTCTCATGTAATCTTTTATTTTGTTTGTTTGTGTTGGACTTTATCATTATATTTTCTCTATTGCATAGAATGTTGTAGTATATGATTAAAATTAACATATACCTAGAAGATATATATATATATATATATATATAAATTTAGAAGGGTCATAACATCATAATTAACTTCAATATAAATTTTTAAAATATTAATTTTTCTCAAATTGTATTTGTTTACTATATTTTTGATGCACCACTAAACTTGAGCTATAAGATTATTGGGCTTCGGATTTTCATTTTAGTATTAAGTTGCTGCATTTCCCTCCCACTCCGAACGACGATAAATCGACGGCCGGATCATCTTGCTTTCCTCCCGACATAAAATCTCCCAACGCTTTGCTTGCCCTGCACTCCTCTCTGAGCTGAGCTTTTGTTCTGAACACCTCTACTCTCACCTTTCTTCTCTATCAACAATGGCCGTCCATTCACTGATCCCCTTTCTTCTATCACTCTCCTCGCTTCTCCCAACCATTTCCTCCTCCTCATCTACTGCCTCGCCGGTGATCGGCATCAACTACGGCCAAGTAGCAAACAACCTCCCATCTCCCGCTGAAGTACTCCCGCTCGTCCGCTCTGTTGGCGCCGGCCGTCTGAAGCTCTACGACACTGACCCCACCGTCCTCCGCGCCTTCGCCGGCACAAACATCGAGTTCGTGGTCGGCCTCCCAGACCAACTCGTCCCCAAAATCCGGGACCCTGCCGCCGCCCTCTCCTGGGTCAAAACCAACCTCCAACCCCACATTCCCCGCACCAAGATCACCGCCGTCACCATCGGCAACGAAATCCTCTCCGGTAACAACACACTTCTCATCCAAAGCCTGATTCCCGCGATCCAGTCCGTCCATTCAGCCCTCGTGTCCCTCAATCTCGATCGCCAGGTCGCCGTCACCACCGCACACTCCCTCACTATCCTCTCCACCTCCTACCCCCCTTCCGCGGGCGCATTCCGGAGGGACCTCCTTCCTTATATCTCCCCCCTCATCAATTTCCTGAACAAAACCAGATCCCCTTTTCTGATCAACGCCTACCCTTTCTTCGCGTACAAAGCTGATCCCAAACGGGTTTCGCTTGACTACGTCCTGTTCGAGCCAAGCGCCGGCGTGGTGGATTCGGGGACGGGCTTAAGGTACAGGAACATGCTGCACGCGCAGGTAGATGCTGTCGTGACGGCGATTGCAGCTGCCGGAGGGGGGAAGACAGTGGAGGTTAGGGTTTCAGAGACGGGGTGGCCGTCGGTGGGCGATGAGGACGAGATTGGGGCGACGATGGAGAATGCTCGGAGATATAATGGGAATTTGATGAAAATGGTGGCGGAGGGAAAGGGGACACCGATGCAGCCCAGATCGCCACTTCAGGTGTACGTGTTTGCTCTGTTTAATGAGAATATGAAGCCCGGGCCGGCGTCCGAGCGTCACTACGGTCTCTTTAAGCCCGACGGCACTCTTGCTTATGACATTGGGGTTTCAGCGCCCACCGTTAATTCAACGACGAGCGGCGGTGATGATGGCATTGGCAGAGGAGATGAGAACTCGCCGTTGTTCGGCTTTACTTCCCCTGGCAGTTACTACACAGTGTACTCTGCAGTGGTAAGTGAAACTCTCAATAATTTTCGTTTATTATAATTCGCAAGCTTGCATTTCAGTTATGTAGGATATATTAGTATAAGATGTTAAACTATAACTGCTACTGAAAGCATCGTGGGCGAAATGTTTTCATCAGAACATACAATTAATTTGACCTGCATTTATATTACATTTATATTAAATTACATAATGTTGCATTAAGGAAATATTAAATTAAACAAGCCCTTACAGCGTCTCCAGCCGAACGCCTAACACTCATTTAACGTCGTTAGTTTGCTCCATTCGATCGCAAAAAAATGCTATTCAGGTGTGGCGTTGCAGTGTTTACCCACTAATTTTTTTTATATATAAATATATGATTAAAAAATATAAAATAAAGTATGAGAATGAATATACACAAAAATTATTTTTTTTTGTTAGAAAATAAAATTTGGTTGAAGAAGAGTTACTGTATTTTGCTGTATTATTATATTTTAGAGTGAAAATTGAGTTTTATGATCTCATTTAGCCCTATAAATTTGGTGTTTACTAATCAATCATCATATGCCCACTTGGATGGAGCATATTCCACATAAAATTGAACTTAATTGACTAAGTTTAATAAATGGTGGGCCAAATTAATTATCCTCCATAGAAGAATAGATTTTCAATGATTGCTCATGTAATTGCAAGTGTTTGATAAGGACTTTCTTTCAACTTGACATAAAGATTACAATAATAATAATAATAATAATATATGATGAATTAGATATAAATAGAAGACAGTGATGAAAAAAGGAGAATAAGAGGGGTTCCTTTGAAGAACTCACCTGGGAATGTCAGAAGGATTCACCTAAGGAGATCAATAGGCTCTGCTTGGCTAAACATACGAATAAGCTCATCCTACAAGGGACAAATCAGAGACCCTTGTCAAAGCAGCATATCAACCATCTCGTCATTACCTTAGTCACTAGTTCTGTAAAATTCCCTAATTTTGAATAATATATATTTTTTATATTTTTAAAATGCTTGCATTGAGTGATGTGCACTAAGCTTTTGAATGCAGTGGCACTGAGAAGTGCCAAAGAGTGGTGCCTTCGCGCCATAACTCTCAGTTCACAATAACTCTTGAATCGCATGACGCAGCGCCACATACTGAAATGAGTTTATATATATATTTCTCTCCACTCAATTGACTCTCTCTCACTTACTCGCTTGGCTTACAAAAGGAAAATAAGGAGAAGGGAAGGAGGAGAGAGTAAAGAGAACCTGGAGTTTTGACAGTCGGTTCGTCTCGTTCCTTTTTATGAAATTGTAGTGACTTCTTCATATTTAATGTGATTGATTTTTCATATCATTAACACAAAATCCAACATGTGCTAACTTTTTTATCATGTCATTGCCAATAATATTGACTCACATTATTGTCAATGAAGTTAATAATACACATTACCATTCAACTTCAACGTGTGATATTATGGTTAAGGTGAGATAGGATGTCAAACACAACACCAATATTCATCATCAGTAACAAGATGATTGCACACCATCAACACCACTATAGACACAAACCATCATAGAAGTTTGAGTTATGTTGAGCTCAATTACTTTTTTTCTTCATTTATTTATTTATTTATTATATATGCAGATACCAAATGCATCTAAACCCTTTTTTTTAATTTTAATGATAAGTTTTAAATCAATTTTAAAAGATAATCTTAAAATTAGAGCCTCAATTAGGCCCACTCTTACAATTTATCCACTAGAAATTCTGAGTTTTAAAATTTTTCAGCTTGGGTTTACAAGGCTAATTTAATACAACATAATTCATGATTATTGATTAAAGCATCACGAGTTGGGTTGGCTTCCTTCACAACTAAACGATTTCGAGTTAAATAATCTAAACCCAAACCCTAAACCCTAAACCCTACCCTAAAGAGTAGGGGTGTCAATTTATGACACGACTAAAAAATCCAACCCGAACCCGGTCAGAAAAATTCTATTTTGCGTTGACATGTTTAACAAATGGGTCGGGCTGGTTCTAATTCCTGACCCGTTTAAAAAATCGGGTTATACGGGTCAACCCGCTAACCTGAAAATGATATGCATCCACCCCAAACACATCCCGCCCAGCCGAAGCACCAAGTCCAGCCCGCATTGTACAACACCGCATCATTTCTTGCTGGCAGCATTGCCCTACACCCGCAATTTTGTTCACACCAGCGTTTGACCCACACTTGCCCTGTGGCCTATACTTGAAATCACCAGCCTCACTTTCTCTGCTCTCGTTCGGGTCTGTGTAGGGTCAAGTCGACCTCGATTTGGGGGGGGGGGGGGGGGGGTTTCAAGTCTGAGTTCAAATTTTTGACCTATTTGTATAACACGGTTAGGTTCAAGTTAGATTAATTGAGTGCGAGTCAATTTCGGATTAGACCTAAACCCAACCCAAGAAACCATTTTAGCACCCCTACATTTAAAAACGTTTGCGCTCCATGCTCCATCTTTTTTTTGGTCTGAAGCTGACTACTTAGTTTCTTACTGTGTTTCGTTCACTTTTTTTTTATTCATTTTATTTACTTGAACTGACGATCATATTTCACCCCCAAAAAAAAAAACTGATTTACAAATATAAAAATAAGTTTCTATGATTCTATTACTAATCACCAAGCTATCATATTTTTTTGATGCATATAAGAAACAAAAGGTACCCATTATCAAAAAAAATCTCTCAATTATTAAATTTATTTTAAGATGAAATATAATAAAAAAAATAAAAAATTATATTATGCTCATCTTAAAATAAAGAGAAATATATCACACAATTTTAATGTATTTTTACATATCTAATATTTACTCATATATTTTTTAGATTTTAAAATACATAAAAAATCTTATTAATATTAATTTTTAAATTGAAATTTATCTTTTTAATATAACATTTTTTAATATAATTAATTATTTTGAAATAATAATTTAATCAAGAGACAATTTAATTGAGGGCCCATTGATACCCCTCTACATAATTCCTACATTCACATGGACGAGATGACGTGTAAATTGTAGGTTAGTTATCAAACAACGCAAGCTCCAATCTTGTACCAAAATTAATAACAAATCTGAAGCACCAGAAGAAGCCAGAAGCCGTCGCATCTAAGATCTACCAACGAACTGTACGATTGTGGCAACGATTATCTCTAAGCTTCGCGAACTTTCGATCAACATCACACTAATTGCAAGATCAGACCCGCCAACTGCGCGATCGCTCCACTCAGCCATGGCCACTTGCTTTCCTCCTGAGATAAGGCATCAAGTTGCAGTTAAAAGCTGATATTTAAACTTTCTTTGCAAGCTTTTTACGAAGCATAAATGCAAATGTATCCACAATTGTCTTAAGTTAGAAAATCTATATTTTTTCTACTTTACGTTGGGTCTCAGAAGCCTGCCGTTACATCATTATTCAAGTGTAAAAAGAGAGGAATCCAATGCAAAAAAAAAAAAGGGCAGCAGCCATCATAGGAACGGCAAGGATTTCGATCCTTTGAAAAAGACAGCAAAAATAGAATAAATTCCTAATATACTTGGAGAAATTATTATGTGCGGAGACGTACTTAGAATGTAAAGATAAATCAAAATGTGTCACGTCAGCAGCACAAACCATGAGATGGGATGACGTGGCTCATTCTGGTGGTCTCCGGATAAAGACGTCCACGCTAATAATCACTATAATACTTGAATTACATCTTAAGGCGCAGCACATTTAGTTGCTTTTAGATGAAAAGGGCAATTAGTTTTCTTTTCAATTATATTTTAAAATAAAATACTCATTTTTTTGGAATTTAACAGTATTTGAAAAGTTAAACTGATATAATATTTTTAATGATATCCAACAAAAAAGGCTATTTGATTTGCAAATAAAAGAAGTATAAAATATTTCAAATGCAGGTATTCTCAAACTATTGATATTTAATTTGAAGTTAAAAAATGTGGAGTAAAATTTTAAAGTATTCAAAATAAATCCTAGCTTAATTTTAATTTATTTAAAAAATTTTAAATTTGATTAAGTTTCAAATACATTATAAATTCTCTATTATTTTGTCGCTGCATGC